CTTCTAGGTGTTTTGCCCTAGAATAAGCTGAGAATATACTACAATGAATTTTTGTCCCAATCTATAGAAAAGAAAACAGAGGCCCAGAGAAATTCAGTAACTTGCCCAAGTCATTCAGCTGACAAATGATGAAGCAGAGGTTTAAACATTTTTGAGGAATCCCTCACACCACTGGGCCTCCTGGTGAGACAGGATGTATAATCTGATGGGTGATAAGAATGGTTTCTCCAAGCACCCGAAGTGTGTCGATAAAAAACACTAGACTCTTGGTTGACTGTCCATTGGGTTATATACTTTACTTGTCAATATCTGAGGGATAAAACAAATTAGCCAACACATTTGTAATAAAAAGAAACTTATGTTTTGTTTCGTTGGTGTCTTAGAAAGGTCTTTGAGAGTATTTTACTGAATCATCGTAGTAGATATACTGTATTAGATACTCCTGCCCCCTAGCTAGAGCACAAACTGTGCCTGAAAATTATAGTTTTTATCTTTTATCTTAGCTTAATTGGTCCTTATGAATCATCTCAAGTAGTCCTGCTTTGGAGTGGCCAATCTTACAACCATTTGACTTTAGATAAAGTTAGAAAACTAAATTGGAAGGGTTTGTTCTGGTTTCGCTCTTCAGAATTTGATTAATTTTCAAACTTGTGTACTAACTCTCTTGTGTGTGTTCCTGTAGGAAAGTTGCATCAAAGTAAAATTAAAACTTCCTAGGGCTCTGTCTTCTCAAAATGGTTAGCATTGCGAATGACTCTGGAACCAGGTTCCTTCATGGAGCACCCAAAACTCAGGACCACAGTACACAGAGGACAAGGCTCCTGCTCCTGCTCTCCCCACCCAACCTGCCTTCCCCCAGCTCAGCAGCCTCCTCTTCTGGGCTGTCCTGAGCACACTTACAACATGCATTTTCACTTCCATTGCTGATTTTCTCCTTCGTAAAAAGTGGAGCCAGAGTCAGAGCATGCCTCTTACCTCACCTGTCCCTGCAGGTGAGCTAGCAGCTTGCTGGAGCTGGGGTCCCAACCCCACGGCCCCCCTGCTGAGCACATGGAGTTTGGGGAGTATTGAAGAGCTCTCCCTCAGTCACTCTTCAAGGACTGCCAAGTGTCATCAATTAAGAGGAAGAAGGACCATAAAGGTGGTCAGAGAGAGGGTTTATGAGTTTCTCTTATTACTGGCTCTGTCTCAACTGAGCATGAACCACAGAGCCATCTCCCTCCCAAGTGATTCTAGCAAAATGCTGACTGCCTACGAGTGCTATCTGGCCACGACCCGCTTCCAGCCGAAGGCGCCTCCCATGAAGAGTGGCTCCACCAAGCCTGGGTCTCACCCAGGTTCTGCTGACAGGTCTTGCTCCAGGGCTTGGCCAACTCCAGGACTCTCCTGCCTTAGCCCCCTAGACACTCCCTCATCTCTGAGCAGCCCATTCACAGACCCACTACTCGCCCTCTAAACCACGTCCTCCTCATCCCAAGGTGTTCTCTTAGACCTCAAGGAAAAACTAGAATATGGGACGTGGATCTTGGCAACTGTTCCTGGGCCCTGGCGCTCTCCTCCAGAACTGCAAAGCAGGAAGGCAAGTGTCCTGCAGGTGGTGAGACCCCGTGGCTGCCAAGGGCTTAGAGGGAACCCTCTATCTTCCCTGCATTACAGAAGCCAGGCTTTGGGCCCCCGCCCAGATCCAAATCCCGACCTCTCTTTCAAATCTGTCCCTGCCCTCTATCCCCACCCTGAGGCCTCAGGTCTCCATTGATTTTCATCTAGCCGTTGCCCCCTCTCCATCCCCTACTGGGAAACCAGATAGTATCACAGTGCTCCCCTGCTAAACGCCAGCCGGCAAAAGCCTGTGAGGTAGATTCTCCTTCACCTGGAGCAGCTTTGGCCATGAACTCAGCCTCATCGGTGGATCCAGCCTTATCTAGGCCCCGCCCCAGCAATCTCGACACTCCAGCCCGTCAAACCTCTTGTCCTTTGTTACCAGAACACTCCATGTACTCATAGCCTCTCCACCTTTGCACCTGCCATCCTATCCACCTATCCTTCTAGCAAATTTCTGCTCATCCTTCAAAGTGCAGTTCAGAGGTCTACTCCTACACGAAGCCCTCTCTGACTAACTGTCTTAGTCAACTAGGGCTGCCGTAACAAAATACCACAAAGCGGGTGGCTTAAATAACAGAAACTAATTCTCTCACAGTTCTGGAGGCTGGAAGTCCAAGGTCAGGGTGCAGGGATAGTTGGGTTTGGGCAAGGGCTCTCCTCCTCTGGCTTGCAGACACTGCCTTCTCTCTGTGTCGTCACATGATGTGCTCTAGCCAGAGAGAGAGAAAGGGACCAGAGAGAGAGAAGCATCTCCCTCTCTCCTTCTTATAATGCCATCAATCCTACCAGATTAGGACCTATGCCTTATGACCTCATTTAACCTTAATTTCTTCCTTAAAAAAAAAAATCCCCGGATACAGTCATATTGGGGGTTAGGGCTTCAACGTATGAATTTGGGGGAGACACAATTTAGCCCATAGCACCTCCTCAAAGTTGCTTGCTACCTCCTCCAGGGCCCCATATTCACCAGGGCGGGGCACCCCTTTATCACACAGCACATTGATCCTTCATCCCCATTTGTGTCTCCTAACAGACCTTTCACGAAATAATGGACTAAGTCCTTCTGCCCAGTCCCATCCCCTGCTCTTTCGGTGTCACCTCCTCTGTGAGGAGGCCTTTGTCTTCCAGTACACTGTCATGACCTGTCTGTCTCCCCAGCCATGCCCAGAGCTCAGAGAGGGCAGAGGTCACTTCTCACTCATCCCTGGGCACCGAGCACCTTGCACAGAGCAGACCTTGTGGGGAGAATTCTGGTGCAGCGGTGGGAGGACCTGCAGCCCAGGATGTAGGCTCCCTCAGGTGCCTCTCTCACCCCTACGCACTCTATTGGCAAGGCCTGATTCCAGGGCTCCTCCAGCCCTGGAGCCTCTGCAGTTTCCTCCCATCCTAAGAGGTGACACTCCTGGTGCAACCCTGGGCAGGAGACCAGGTGTACAGGCTAGGAACAGGACACTCTCGGCAGCCTTTTCTTTGCTCTTAAACACGGGGACTGCCGTGCACTGCAGGAAAAGTGCAGATCCCACTGGGTGTTTCTGGGTTTCCCTGCAGGCTCCGCAGGTGCTGGTGTATGTATGAATGAGAGCAGCTCCTCAGGCTCGCATAGGTTATTGATTTAATGTATATACTTTATTCCCAGTCCCAAAACATCAAGCTAAAAATATCTTATGTCTGAGCTCTGGACCAAAAAAAAAGAAAGAAAGAAAGAAAGAAAGAAAAAAGAAAAGAAAGAAAGAAAATGAAGCAGTTGAGTCATTAATCATTGGGAATATGTTGAATAGGAACTTGATTAAAGCACAGTGTGCGTTCTCCAATAGAGTTTGCTTCTTTACTGTGACCACAGTGGAAGCCCGCGTGTTTTTGCGCTGGGCCTCCTTGAGGGCTCCTGGGCGGGTTGTGGCGCCTTGCCAAGCCTTGCAAGGCCTCTCTCTGTCTGGGAGAGAGTCTTGACCAAAGCAGTTCTCAGGCGGGTTCTCAGGCGGGTTCACCTCCAGTCAGCACCCAGGCAGCATTGGGCTTCAGCTCACGAAGTCATAAGGGCGCTGGAAGAAGGGGTAAAGGCAGGATCGACTTGCGGACCCCAGAGGGGCCCCCTGCGAGCCCCGCTGTCCGTGCGAACCCTGTATAGAACGCGTGAGGCGCCACGTGGCTGGCGAGACGCTCTGCTATAAACCCCTTCCCCCGCAGCAGTGAGTGCGGAGGCGGCGCAGCGCCCAGCCGGCTCCCGGGCCTGGCCGCCTCGTTCCCCAGGATCGCCGGAACTCAGCGTCTTGCGAACCACCACCCCTCAGGGTTCTCCCAGTAGGTGCTCCGACCCTGGGCCTCCGAGACCCAGGCTCCCTCGACACCCCTGCTCCCGCCTTGGAGCCCACCTGAATGGAGAGTAGAGGCAGAAGGCAGTGGGTTCCGACCCTGTTGACAGCCAGGCCCGCTTTGGGATTCCTGTTCCGGAGGCAAGTTCGCCTCCTCCTGTGCGCTCCCGGAGCCCCAGTACTCCAGCCCCGAAATCCAGCTCCGCTCATCACACAGGAAAAAAAAATGGGCGGCACCGCGCGCGGGTAGCCGCGCCAGCCCCACGCGCCTAGCAACCCTAGTGCTCCAGCTAGAAGTAATTAAAAAAGAAAAAGTTTTCTAGCCCAGGCGGACCGACCGGACAGGTCCTCCAGGATCCTTGGCCGCGGCCTCCTCCTCCTCCCTCCGCTCCCCGCGGGGTCCTAGAGCCTGCTGCTACTACGTCTGTGAGACCACGAAGTACTGCGAGAGGCAAAGCAGTACAGTGTATCTGCGCGGAATCAGTGGGGTCGCCTGGAGATCAGAAATAAAGACTCAAAATCACCGCGCTCCGGGCCTCTTCGTGCGGCGGTGTGCGCCGGGGCGAACCTCCCAAAACTGTTCCCTGCCCCCCATTCCACCCTCCCCTAGCCCCTTCTCCACGCCGCGGCCTTCCGGAGACCCCGAGCCCGGACAGGCCTGGTTCTAGCTTTTAAAGCGAGCCCGCGCCACAGTAGCTCGGAGACCAAGACTTGCCCTCCACCAACCCCCTGCAGGGCGGCTAGGTGCTCCCGGGTTCCCTGGCCGTTGGCTGGAAGTGGGTGTCCTGGGGAGGCTAGAGAAGGGGGGTCCGCCATCGACCACGTGTGCGTGGGGGCAACATCTCGGCCCAGAGTGGGGCACCGCGCGCGTGTTATGGTTCGGCTAGCTGCGCGGGGGCAGTGGGCGTTGCGTCGCGGCCTCTCGCACAAGCGCTGCGCTCCGGCCCAACTCACGGTCCCCTTCGAATGGCAGGCTCTAAGACCCAGGAGGCGCCACTTGCCGTCGCCTGTTGTCAGACACTAGAGGGCGACCGCCGCCCTAGTATAAATGCTGGCCCGCGCGGGTTTGGCCATTCGCGACCTGGAGCTGCTCGGGCGCAAACAAGTAGGGACTCTCGGTGGACGGCGATAGCAGCGGCGCCCCGCGCAGCCTGGAGGCCGCCGAGGCTCGCCATGCCGGGAGGACTCTAGCTCCTCCATGGAGTCGGCCGACTTCTACGAGGCGGAGCCGCGGCCCCCGATGAGCAGCCACCTTCAGAGCCCCCAACACGCGCCCAGCAGCGCTGCCTTCGGCTTTCCCCGAAGCGCGGGCTCCGCGCAGCCCCTCGCCCCACCTGCCGCCCCGGAGCCGCTGGGCGGCATCTGCGAACACGAGACGTCCATCGACATCAGCGCCTACATCGACCCGGCCGCCTTCAACGACGAGTTCCTGGCCGACCTGTTCCAGCACAGCCGGCAGCAGGAGAAGGCCAAGGCGGCCGCGGCCCCCGCGGGAGGCAGCGGCGGAGACTTTGACTACCTGGGCGCTCCAGTGGGCCCCGGCGGCGCCGTTATGCTCGGGGGGACGCACGGCCCCCCTCCCGGCTATGGCTGCGCGGCGGCCGGCTACCTGGACGGCAGGCTGGAGCCCCTGTACGAGCGCGTCGGGGCGCCGGCGCTGCGGCCGCTGGTAATCAAGCAGGAGCCTCGCGAGGAGGACGAGGCGAAGCAGCTGGCGCTGGCCGGCCTCTACCCCTACCAGCCACCGCCGCCGCCACCACCACAGCACCCGCACCCGCCGCCCGCGCACTTGGCTGCCCCGCACCTGCAGTTCCAGATCGCGCACTGCGGCCAGACCACTATGCACCTGCAGCCCGGCCACCCCACGCCGCCGCCTACGCCGGTACCCAGCCCGCACCCAGCGCCAGCTCTTGGCGCCGCTGGCCTGCCGGGCCCCGGTGGCGCGCTCAAGGGGCTGTCCGCTGCGCACACCGACCTCCGCGCAGGCGGCGGCGGCGGCGGTGCGGCCAAAGCCAAGAAGTCGGTGGACAAGAACAGCAACGAGTACCGAGTGCGGCGCGAGCGCAACAACATCGCGGTGCGCAAGAGCCGGGACAAGGCCAAGCAGCGCAACGTGGAGACGCAGCAGAAGGTGCTGGAGCTGACCAGTGACAATGACCGCCTGCGCAAGCGGGTGGAACAACTGAGCCGCGAACTGGACACTCTGCGGGGCATCTTCCGCCAGCTGCCTGAGAGCTCCCTGGTCAAGGCCATGGGCAACTGCGCGTGAGGCGCGCCGCGGCGGGACCGCCCTGGGCTCGGCCCCTGGCTGGGACTCAGAGAGTGGTTTCGGGTCTCCGGATCTCAGAACTGCCCAAGCCGCAGAAGCCAGGACTAAGAGATTCCGATGCCGCCTGAAAGCCTGGCCTGTTGCGCGTGCCCCTTGTCTTCTGCGCGGGACACGGTGCGTCTAAGATGAGGGGTCAGGCAGTAGTTAGTTTCTCCTTGCAAAGGAGGAGAAGCGCCATGGGGCCGAGCCGAGCCGGGAGCCTGTGACTCTAGTATTAAGGAAAAACCTTGTGCCTTAGAAATGCAAACTCACCGCTCTGATTCCTACCAAGTAGGAAGAGCAAATATGTGCCTTGTCATTTTATTTGGAGGATTCCTGCCTCATTCCCAAGGCTGCAAGACTGCAGCAGGCCCCCAGGAGAGAGGGGAAGGGTGCAGGCCCCAGGCAGGAGGAAGGTTCGGGCAGCAGAGATCCGACAAGCCAGCCCCAGCCGCTTCTCAGTGCCTGTTCCTGGCGGGGAGGAAACACAGGGATCTGGGGCTTGGAACCTGAAGTTTTTCCCCTAGTTCGCCGTGAAGATGGAGGGTCCCTAGTTCCTTGCCTCTAATCTCCCAGCCTGCAACAGGCTGGGCTTCCAGGGCAGAACTCCCTGAGATGGGAGTCACCAGGTGACCAATGGGAGCCCCGTACCCCCAGTCAGACCAGAAAGCTAGGTGTGGGTTAGCTATAAGGACATATGTTCATGGGAATGGTGGCCTGGTGGAAGAGGGGAACCTAGAGGTCTGGTCTGGGGGTTGGGGGAGTGGTGAAGGGACACTGGGACCATCAGCCATGTCTGTACTGTATGTCGCCAGCATTGCCATACAAACATGAAGCCCAGTCAGTCCATCCCAGAGGGACCCAAGTTATGAGAAGCTTTCCAAATATTTTGCTTTATCAGCCGATATCAACACTTGTATCTGGCCTCTCTGTGTCCCAGTGGTGCCTTGTGCAATGTGAATGTGCACATCTATGCTAAACCACCATTTTCTTTGGTTTTTGTTTTGTTTTGGTTTTGCTCAGATACTTGCCAAAATGAGACTCTTTGTCAGCAGCTGCAGGGAGGGTCTGTGGCTCTCTTTCCTTTTGGTTTTGGGATTGCTTTTGTTCCCAGGGGAACCAAAGAGGCAAAGTGGGCTTCCCCTTTCCCCTCAGCTTTCCATGGGGGTGACTGTGGGCCTCCGTCCCCTCCAACACTAGGCTGCCCACAGGCTTGTCCCCGCAGAGGCCCTGGCTCTCGGTCTGGAAGGCAGGCAGCCTCCAGCCAGCATACACAGATCTCTGGGCCTGGGAGCAAGGAAGGACGGCTTGGTTCTCTTCTTTTGAGGAGAACGTAGAGTTTCATGCTAGATGTTTTATGTATTATATCTATAATATAAACATATCAAAGTAAAATTTGGTGTCTTTTTAAAACCAGAAAAGCTACTTCCAAGGTTCTTTGTGGGCCAGGTCACATTTGTAAATAATCACAGCGTATTTTCTGGCAGAGATTCTGACTTTCATTTGCTCTCCACCCATCCCGAGCCCCTCTTTTCATTAAGGGGTGACTTCTCCCAACCAAGGCAAACAAATGGCAGGAGGAGGACGAGGCTCCAAGCTGAACATGCCAAAGCCTGAAGAGAGTCTCCTGGCTGGGGTGTGAATGTGCGTCGTAGGAGGGTAGGGGATTAAGGGACCTTGGTGCGGCCTCTCATTGGCCCCTTGGGAGAAGAGGGACTCAGAGAGGGATCCCCCTCCCTAAAGGTGCCACAGCCTCTTTGGGACTTCAGCAGGCCTGGTCCGGCAGCTCCAGGCTCCAGGGACCCTTTGACCACACTCATTTCCAGATCGCTCACAGCTCCAGCTCTGGAGCAGCCTCTCTCACACCTGTTTTTGCCCCAGCGCATCAGCAGAACCCAGGGTGGGCGGGGAGAAGCCTGAAACTAGAGGACCCTCTACCCTTCCCTACTTGCTCCCGCCACCGGCCCTTCACACCTGTCCGGCCCCAGCCCACCCAGGAAGGGGGCCCACAGCAGACCTGTAGCAGGCCTGGCCCTTCCCCACGCACTGCCCAGCAAGAAGTCAGCCCCAACATCCACCCTCCCCACTGTGCCCTCCCTGGGCCAAGCCCCCCACTTGGGCGACTGTCCTATGAGGACAGGCACCCTGGCACCCCCTTAGCAGCAGTGCTAGCCAACCGAGGGATGGTGCACCCTCATGCCTGAAATAACAGGGCCTGGGAGGACGTGACACAGGAGGCTGGCACGGCTCTCAGAGTTTACTCTTTCTGAGAGCAAAAGGCAAAACACTCTTTACCTTCTGTTCTCCCCCTAAGAGTGTTCCCTTTAGCAGCTTATAGCATATGCCAATGTGGGCTGGGACAGTTTTGAGAAATTACGCATTCTTCTTAAACTCTGAAAGTTTAGCTTTACCTGACTGTGTGGTTAATGGGGGTGACTTGCCGCCTCCTCACCCATGGCCACCCTTGGCAGAGGAAAGGCCACGAGCCCAGTGAGGAGGCGGCAGCCTGCCTTGCTGCCTGGGAACCAAGGAGGCAGAGCCCGACCGCCTGCCTAGAGGCCTGGGGCAGGCCACAGCTTGCTAGGCCCCAGCAAACCCTCTCTGAGTTCAGTGCTAATTCCAGTTTTTCTTGTTTCAGGGGGCCAAGCCTTGGCCTCCCCCTTTGCCCCCAGAACAGATCCCAGGATGAGATCTCCCCCGCTTCCCCCCTCCCCACTGTCCCATCTCCAGGGATTTCCACTTTCAAAGCTGTCAGCTCACAAAAAGGGCACCCCTTTTACTGCAGATCCTGAGGTCCAGGGCAGGCTCCGTTGGGGAAAAGATGGATCCAACCACAGCCAGTCCCAGGAAAGGTATGGGGTAGGTGGGGTCCCCAGTGCGGCCCCCAGTAGACAGAGCAGCCTGCCAGGGAGATGGGGCAGCCTAGTGTGAACCTGCTCAGCACATGCTCTGTGCCCAGCCCCAAGAGGCCCCTGGGGAGAGCCGCTCCTTCCCACCCACTGCTTCCTGCAGGGCCCCCCACGGTTCTCCTCCTGACTTCAGCCTTCATGAAGAAACCACTCCAAGAGCCTGGCACCAAGCACACCCCAAATATTTATTAGATGCCTACTGTGTGCCAGGGCCCATGCCTGGGAACAAGCAGACTCAACGGCTACTCTCAGGGTGCTCAGAGCCTTGTGACCCCCATATATGATAAGCATATGATAAGTGCAATAAGGAGGAGCTCAAAGTGTGAATAGAGGCCACCAGGGAAGGCTTCCTGGAGGCAGTAGCTTTGACCCAATCCAGCCATGGACCGGGTCCAACTCGCCTGGATGCCTCTGCCTTGCATTCTCCCTCAAGAGGTAGCAGGACCCTCACCCCCTCGGTGGACCACCAGAGAGAGCCTGGTGTCCCCCGAGAGCCTGTTCAGAGAAGCCAGCCTCCAGAGAAGGAGCAAGGGCAAGAGGAGAGAGGGAGGTGCTCCTGTGCCGCCAGATGCCTCCCAATGGGTTGGCGCTGTCACGAATGTTAGCCTTATCTCCCGGATCTCCTGGGAATCTGTGAACATGGGGCTGGGCTCTGACACCTGCGATGAGCCATTGAGACTGGTGAGGAGTGTCTGCCCCTCCTAGATCTACCGCCCCCTCCTTCCCAGGCAGGAACCCGTCAGGCCTCCTCCACCAGAGGCCGATTGCACAGGAGGAGAGGAGGCAGTGGGGAGACGAAGGGGGAGGCCACTCACGGTGCAGGCCAAGAGGGGCAGAAACCCTGACCTTGCTCAGTCACGAGGCCTTTCTTTCCAGGCCTTCTGCTGACATGGGGCAGGGTCCTTGCCTGGACTGAAGTGATAGCCCATCTCGCTTTTTCCTATGCTGGTGGATAAGGGTAGGCTTTTCTCTTATTTTCTTTTATTTAAATAAAACTAAACCATCAGCACCTTTGAAAGATCTTTCTTATCTCTGTGAAAGACGTACTATTTCCCTTCTCTCAACACCCCCACTTCATTCCCTCCTCCATACCCTTCTCTGTGGATGGAGCATTTGACGTAAGCAGAGACATAGGAAAGATACCAGTTCACTATCAAAGCATCCTAGCCCCATCCCAGAGCAATTAAAAAGCCAGATGGAATCTCTGGGAAATCGGCATTAATAACGCGAACAATCTGTGCAGGCCGGCAGGGACCCAGGAGCCACGGGCGGGGGCAGGGAGGAGAGGCTGGGTGCTGGAGCAGAGCTCAGCTACGTTGTGGCCAGCCAGGGATGGGGCCATTGCAAGGGTCTGCCTAGGTCTGGCCGCAGCTGGACTGTCCCCTCCAGCCCCTGCAAGGCTGTCTGTGCATCCTGGATCCTGGTCACTGCAGACAGAGCCAAACAAATGTGGAACCCATTACTCAGGCAGCCACGGCCTCGGCCAGGCCCGTTCTGGCACCCAAGAGCCTTGCTTTCCTTCACTTTTGTTTTTATTTATTATTTTTCTTGCCTTCTTGCCCCACCCACTAGAAACAGGCCTCCCTGGTGACAGCGTCCACAGATGCCCTTTCTCTTCATTCTCTGTGCCCAAGCCCACTGCCCATAGCCGAGAACAACAGAAGATGGTGTTGGTGACCCCACGGGGCCTGAACCCTAGAAGCTCCCCTTAGATTATGGAGTGCTAGGCACTTGTGGAAAGCCCATCGGAGCTCCCAGAAGCCAGCATGATTGACAGGGGAGCAGGGCATAGAGGCCTACACCACTCGGCTGCCTCGAGGGGCCCAGAAGGGGCTGGGTGAGGCCCACAGGAAAAGAATCTTCTGCTGTTCGGAAGCCTTTTCTAGGTAGAGCTGAGAAGCCAAACTCTTCCATAGCTCCGTGTTTCAGACCGTGGTCTGGAGGCCCACCTGAGATGGATTCAAAGATGTAGTTTTCTTACGCCCATCAAGGTGGGATGAAAATTGGCTTGTTTTAAATACATCTTTTGTGATTCTTGCATCCCCAGAGGTCCATTTTCTGAGCTTCATCTTCC